GTAGGTGCTTTAGACCACTGAGCCATCTCACCAGCCCCTAGCTAATGTCATTGATTTGAGACCTTTCCTATTCTCTGGTATGTGTTTAGTGCTTTAAATTTTCCTGCTTTAGTTGCTCTTATGGATCTTTGGGGGTTTTTTTTGTTTGGTTGGTTTTTTTGTTTTTGTTTTGGTACCTGAGTTTGAATTCAGGACCCCCCCCCCACTTGCCACTTAAGCTACTGAGCTAAATCCTGTGGATCATTGTTATTTTCCCTCTGATTTCTTTAGTTGTACTATTTAATGTGTTATTCATGGACTAGAGGTGGGTATGTTTCTAAATACTTGACAAATTTCCATTTCTCATAGTTTATTTTTTGTATTTTAGTAAGGGTCTACAGGGTCTCACTACGTAGATTGGACTCATAGTGATCTGCCTGCGTTCAGCCTCCCAGAGGTGGGACTACAGGTGCACATCACCACACCCAGTCTCAATCGCTGTCTCAGTGCACCCCAGGGGCGGGGCCAGGGCTGGAACAGCAGGCTGGTGACGAATTTCCTATTCTGTAATTGGTCTTTTGAAGGGAGGGTTGAGACAGGTCTTTCTATATATGCAGACTGACCTCAGACTCTCAGCAATCCTCCTGCCTCAGCCTCCCAAGTGCTGAGAGCAAAGGTGTGCACCTCAGTGTCTGGCCAGTTTTTATTTTAATTTCATTCAATTCAGAACATGTACTTTCCATGACTGGACTTCTGTTAAATTTATTGGGACTTAAAATGGACAGGAGATGGTGTGTTTTGGTGAAAGTGTGTGTGCAGTTGGAAATGTTTAAAGAATCTAAAGGTCTTCCTATTTGGGGTAGAGGGTGCCACAAATATGAGGTAGCTCGGATTGGTTGGTAGTGTTGTTCCTGTCTTCTAAATAGTCTCTTACTAATTACTGTCTGCTTGATCTATCGATTACTGAAAAGAGGATGTTGACATCTCTCCAGCAATAATTGTAGACACTCTATTTCCTGGGTAGTTCTAGTTTTGCTTCATGGATTTCAGAGCTCCATTATTCAGTGCATAAAGGCTTAGAAAAGTTCTATCCCCTTCATAAGTTAACTCCTGTATCATTATTCTAAACTCTATTTCATTAAAGTAGGTATTCCACCTTTCTTTTGATTAGCACTAGCATGGTAAATCATTTTCCATCCTTGTGTTTGTAAGCTGTTTGTGTTTTACAGTGCGTTTCTTGTAGATATCATAAAGTTGGGGCTTGCTACTTAATCCACCAGGTCATTCTGACTGTACCAGGGGTGTTTGGACCATTTTTTATTTAATGCGATAGGTTTAAACTGATTTGATGTACCGGTAATTATTCTTCTATTTATCCATCCTTCATATTTTTTCCTTTTTTTGACACACAGTCTCGCAACCTTTTCCTTCTTTATGTACTCTTTTAGATGATTAGCTATGATTTTTGTTTTATCTTCTCCAGTTATTAGGTGAAATCTTTGTTATTTTAGTGGTTGCTTTAGGCTTTAGAGTATATGCATGTAGTTTCTCGCGGTATGCTTTTGAGGGGTACTACAGCCCCCTGGGTCCTACATGAATTTAAAATATCATACTTCCATTTCTCCCTTCTGGTCTTTATAATATTATTGCAGTATATTTCTTCTACATGTGTTAAGAATCTCATTACATGGCTAGTATTTTTCTTTAAACAATTATCCTTTAAAGCTATTTCGTAAGGAAAAGAATCTTTCTTGCTCACACAGCATGGCTGCCTAGGCATCCGGTTTCGTTGTAACTTTGCCTGAAGGCTGCTCCCCCCTGGCTGGGCTCTGCTCTGCGGTGACCAGCTTCTGTAGACCTCCAGCAGGAGCCTGTGCTGCTGCAGAGCCGCCTGTGGGGTGAGGCTGCCTATGGGGTGGGGCGGGCTTCCATTCCTGCTTCTTTGGGATTGATTGCTGTTCTTTAAGGCCCAAGTGCCTTGAAAACCATTGTTTTGGGGCCGGAGAGGTGGCTCAGTGGAATAAGCACTTCCCTGGCCAGCACAAGGGCCTGAGTTCAATCCCTGATTCTGCACAGAAAAAAACACACCATTTCCTACATTCAGTCCATGTTTTGTTGTTGTTTGGGTCAGGAAAGTAACTCCAGTCCCTAAATTGTGGCCAAGAATTAGGCAGAAGAAATAAAGCCACGGCCAGCCAAATACTGGAATAGTACTGACTTGTCACTTAACACAAGCAATTAATGAGTAGTTATTAGTGAGTGCTTTGTCTCTGTATCGTGTATATAGTTGATTTTTTTTCTCTTTTATATAATTGTATTGGTACAAATGTAAGCAGTTTATGGCCTTTTCTGTTTTGTTTTTGCTTTTTGTTGGGTTTTTTTTAGTTTTTGATTGATATAATATATATTGTTTCTTGTTTTGGATAAAGTCAAACATCATTTGGAAACAAGTTTCATAAGAATAATCACTTTGAGGACCCCGAGGATAGCTCAACAGTCTGACCACCTGCCTGGCAAGTGCAAGGACCTAAGTTCAATCCCTGGTACTGCACTGTACTGACACCAAAACCCGGCATGGTGGCACATGCCTGGAATCCCAGCGCTAAGAAGGCTGAGACAGGAGGATCACTATGAGTCCTAACTGCGTAGTGAGACCCTGTACCAAATAAGTAAAAGATTTTTAAAAAGAGGGCTGCAGAGACAGCTCAGTGGTCTAAGCACCTGCCTAGGCAAGTCCAAGGATCCGGGTTCAATCCCCACTCACCACATGCCATGCCAGCCCAGCACCAGGTGTACCAAGGGGGCCACTGAAACCGGGCATAGTGGTGCACGCCTATAATTCCAGCTCTGGGGAGGCTGAGACCAGAGGATCAGTAGGAGTCCGGGCTTCATAGTGAAACCCTATACCAAATACATTGGAAAAAAAAAAAGAAAAGAAAATCACTTTGAGATTAAAGTTGTGGGGCTGGAGAGATGGCTCAGTAGAATAAGCACTTGCCCTGCAAGTGCAAGGGCCTAAGTTCAATCCCCAGTGCTTACCCCCCCAAAAAAAAAGAGAGATTAAATTTGTTCCATTTCTGTTTAAATTTGCCTGGCCTCTTTATTTTAGTTGACTGGAAAGTGTGCCTTATGTGGGTATATTTTCAAGGCGATGTTCCTTCGTAACAGTCTTGGGTTGAGGAAAGGAGTGCTGTGCCTACCCGCTTGTCGGGTCTAGCTTTAATTATAAAGTGAGATAAGACCCTGTCTCAAAAAAAAAAAAAAAAAAAAACCTAACTTAAAAAAAAAAAAAAAAAAAAAAAGCCAAGAAAATATAAACCAGGAATTTAGGCTCACTAAAGGTAACCATTGACATCATTTGTTTTTGTTTTTTGAGAGGAGTCTCATGGTGTAATTCAGACTTGCCTTGAACTCAGTAAGCGGCCTAGGCTAGTCTCTAACTCACTGTGTAGCCCAGGCTGGCCTGAATTTGCAGCCATCCTCCCGCCTTAGCCTCCCAAGTGCTGGGATTATGGGTGTGTGCCACCGTGCTGGACCCTGACATCTGTTATCAGTCGTGTTTGTACTCTTAGCCTATGTCAGCACTCTTTATTTTGAAGTGTCAGAGTATTATAAAAAGTATTTCAAACAAAAGCAAAAAAGAGAAAAGAAGGTAGTGGGGCAAAGAATTTCAGAAAGGAGAGGGGTGTGTTTTTACCCTGAAACTGAGCTGTCTTAGGTGTATGCCGGGACCAAAGCTGTACAAAGCAGGGGGCCCGCTGCACAGAAAACGTCGAGGTCCCTGGGCAGGCATGGACATGAGCACGAGTGACCTTTGCTGGGGACTTGTGTTGCAGTCCTCCCCGCGACCCTCGTTATTTCATGGGTTTGAGGCCCTGGCCATGGTCCTGAGGGACGCAGCAGAAGCAGCGCCTTCTTATTTGGGACTTCAGAGCAGTGGCTGAGGTGAAACAGCCTCTAGGCCAGGGAGAGAGCCAGTTTGGAGTGAAAGGAAAGGTTTGGAAAAGATGCTCATTGGTTTTCCTGTCCAGAAGCCTGTCCGGTCCGTGTACAGAAGGGCGCTCGATCCCACAGACTAAGGCATCCGGTGACCCGGAGGCTCTTTTCTGTACCTGTCAGATTCAAAAAGCTGTTTTCAGTGGGCAACTGGGGTAAACAGCAGCTCAGGACTGCGGGCCACACGGGGTGTCTTGGTCATTTTCCCACCAGCGACTGATTTTTGCTCATGGTTTGTCAATGGTTGGCAGGCTCCAAGGTGACACAAGGTGGCATAGAAGCCTGATGGAAGGAAAGGCGCTCAGCCCATGACACTTAGGAAGCGGGGAAGTGAGAGGAGCAGGGACAAGACTGCACCGGACAGGCCACGCCCCAACAGGCCACGCCCCTCCGCACATGTTGGGCCACGAACTCCTGCATGGGAGAATCTGCTGAGGAGCGTGGTGCCCCATTTTCCGCTCCCCTTCCACACACAGAACTGGGTGACAGTTGAGATCTAAACTGTAACACAGTATGAATAAGAAGGAGATACATTAGGAATGGAATAGGGGTTCCTGTTCTGCATGGGCTATTGCATTGACAAAATATCATAGACTATACGATTTAAATAGTTTTAGAAACTGAAAATCCAAAATTGAGGTTGCAGCAAGGTTCAGTTTCTGGTGTGGGTTCTTTCCTTGGCCTGCAGGTGTGTCCTTGTCACAGTGTTCACCCTGGCCTTTCCCTGGGTGTGTGTGTGGGGGTGTGTCATCTGTCCCTTTCTCCTTCTCAAGACCTCACTGGATCTTTGCACCTCCTAAAAGTTCCATGTCCAGATACCACTAGGGTGGAGCTCCAACGTGTGACTTCTCCGGGACAGAAACTTTCCAGAACAGGGAGGATGGGCCCAGCGACTGTGACAGGGGTCTTGTGTTGTTCTCCTTTCTGGGTACTTGTGGCTATGCCCCCTAAACGCCCCTTTACTGCACACCTCCAGACCAAGAGCTCTTGCCCCAGGCTGGCTTCCAGCAGTTCTGTGATGAATAGAACTGGGCCGAATGCAGCGACTGGCCACTCTTCGGGCTCTGTGGGGAGAGGACTGGCTTCCTGGTGCACTTACTTCCTACCTCTCATCTGCAGGTTCTCCTTTGTGGCCCAATTGGTCCAAAGCTCCACCAGCTCCTTGATGAAAACGTGTTTGTCCCGCCAGAGTCACTGCAGGAAGTGGACGAGTTCCACCTCATTCTGGAGTATCAGGCAGGTAAGGGATGTGAGAAAGTGCCGTGAGAGGCCTGGGCAGGGTTGCGTGTGCTCAGCCTGGCCTGGGAATGCGGACATTGATCTTTGCAAGGTTACAGGGTCCTGTTCTCTTCTAGCCCGCTGCTCTCAGAGCTGCTGTTGCTGTGGGCCGCAGGGAGCGCCATGGAGCTTCACAGCCCTGTTGAAAACTGAGGTCAGCAAACAACTGGCCTGATCCCAGGGGACACCAGGCCACAGGCAAACAGGCATCTTGAGTAAAAGGAAATGTATTAAACAAACCTTTATAAAATTTTCCTTTGTGACTAAGAAGAGAGCAGGGCAAGTAGTGTTTAATGTAACTCTGCTGGATTCTGCCCTGCGCCTGTGTTCTCCACGCTGCTGACAACTGATTCCAGGTCTCTGGCAAGCTTTCTTGGGCATGCTTTATTTTTTGCCTTGGAATGTGAATGGAAGTGTTTTGTAATGAACTTCACTTAGGTAATTTCCATTTTGTGTATTCCAGTGTGTATAAGTCAGCACACCCCTCGTAGCTTCTGTGTGTTCTGGTCTGATTTCTGCAAGATTCTTCCACTCAGATGTCCTCTTTGCTTTATCTTTTCCCCTGCTAAGAACTCAGAATCTTGGTTCTCTGATTGAGCAGATTATTACATGTTAAAGCATTCACCGTACAAATAGGGTAATTGGTACGTAATGCTTGTCAGTGAACTGCTTCCCAATGAAATGAGTGAGACTCTTACCTGCTGGAGTAATTAACTGCTTGTCCAGTGGGAAGACGGCGCAGCTTGAAAGCTATGCCTTTCTCCAGTGCAGAAAGGAACTGTGGCTCTTCCGGCTCTCCTTTGATGCCTACTAGCACTCGGTGGGAATTCAGGACAGGCAGGTTCTGGATGTCAGAGGCAGAAGGCTGTTCACACTTCATGGCGTACGCATGGTGAGCTCCTCTGCTTTAGTTCTGCCTCCTGGGAAACCGGAGTGGAAGTTTCCCTCTTGCATGAGCAGCTCGATGAACCTGCCCACTGCCCAGAAAAGCCTACAGTGGCTCAGAGGTGCCTGAGGTGTCCCTGCTGTCAGCACAGTCTCTGCTGCCTCCTTGGCATCTGCAGTATGCACCGGGCACCTTTGTGGTTCCTGCTTTCTCTCACTTCCCAGTGACTGCCCAAAGGAGAGATTCGTGTCTTGAAGACTTTGATGTTGTATTTTTGTAGTTTCTTTTGAGACAGAGTCTCTCTTCCACGCTGGCCAAGAACTGTGTAGGGTAGGCTGGCTCCAAACTCACAGCGGTCCTCCTGCCTCAGCCCTCCAGGGGCTGGGATTACAGGCATGCCTGCCACACCCATGTTTTGCTGTGGGATTTGCAAGCAGGTCCCTTTCTGGATTTGTGAGCCCTGCATTCAGTTTTTCTTCACTGTGCCTTAGCATGCTTGGTACAAGACAGGGGGCTTCCATTAGGCTTTAGGCAAAGTGCCATTTTCATGGTGGGGGCATGATCAGGGGACAGCAGTCCAAAGTCAGCTCGTAGCAGCACTGTCCTCAGCCTCTCTGACCCGGACCAATGCTTTCAGACAGCCTCTGTCAGCTTGCTTTTCTCTCTCATGCCCACTTGCTGGGCCGGGGGGGGAGGGGGGGGACATGCTAAACTGAGCAGGGCTTCTTGCTCTGATGCACACAGAGCGTGGAGAGCCCAGGGGCAGGCCCAGGCTGGTTCCAGCCAGTTTGCTTCTCGAGCAACGCCCTCCGTCCTGTGTCTGGTGGAACCGCTGAGCAGAGCCTGTTGCTCTCTGCCTCTGTCTCTCACTGAAGCAGTGGGTTCAGCGGCATGCTGTGTGGCACGTTCCCTGGGCCACATTTCCTAGCATTCCCGACGTCTTGCTGTGGGGAGAACACCCACACCATGTAGTTTCCCATCGCACCATCCCGTTCATCTGAGAACTGTGGGGTGGTGGTCACGGCCATCTAGGTCATCAGTCTGTGCCCCGTGCATGTGGTCCTCCTGGTGGTCCTCTCGGGATTGCACATGCTGGAGGGACAGAGCAAGGAGCTGTCACCAGGTGCCAGTGAGGCCTAAGGACAAGATGACACAAGATGCTGCAGGCTGTGTCCTTGGCTTGGGCTCCTGACCGAATAGGGTGTGCCAAGCTCCCTAGGAGATGCCCCTGATAGGATGTGGCCTGTCTGCCCAGGAAAGGAGAATCGGGAAAGGCTGAGTGTTTCAGGAGGAAGCAGCCTTGATCGTGGGCGTGGCAGTGCTTGCTGCAGCAGTGCCCCCAGCTGTAGAAACCAGACCCACCAGGGACAGCACGGAGGAGAAGGCAGTGTGGCTCTGGGCACTCAGCCTGCCCAGATTCCAACTAAACGGGGTGTTATGGGGGCACTGGGCTTCCCAAGATGTGGAGTGTCTCGAGGAGGGTGCACAGGGTGTGACCGCATCCTGTGTTTAGAGCTCAGGAGACAGCAGGGCTCTCCTTGAACTCAGAGGGCACTCGTGACCATGAAAAAGGCCTAGGGAGCAGCTTCCTGGTTTTGGTTTCTTTGTTGGATTTGGGTTTCGGTTTGGATTGGTATGTTTACTGACCCCTGTCCTGAACATGGTGCCACCCACTCAGAACCAGGGCTCCCTACCCCTGGGACACTGATCACCTTTTCTTTTCTTCCCCTTGTGCCCACTGGGCTCTTCTAGGAGAGGAGTGGGGCCAGTTTAAAGCTCCCCATGCCAACCGCTTCATCTTCTCCCATGACCTCTCTAATGGGGCCATGAATGCGCTGGAGGTGTTTTCATCTAGCCTGGAGGAGTTCCAGCCTGACCTGGTGGTCCTCTCGGGATTGCACATGATGGAGGGACAGAGCAAGGAGCTGCAGAAGCAAAGGCTCTTGGAGGTAACAGCACTGTCAGGGACCTCAGGGCCCCAGCAGGCGTTGTTTCGGGCTCCTGCCTTCGCCTCTGTGGCTTGTGCCCGCTTAGGTCCCGTCTCCTGAGGACAGATGGCAGTGCTACGCTGGGCAGGGCAGGACAGGGCAGCTTCTCGGCCATACCTCTGCCTCCTGTGCTGACTGTGGCAGGCTGTGTATTGCTCATGCTCCCTGTGTTACCTGTCCCATCGCACTTCAGTGTCTACACAGCTGCTGTGTAGACAGCAGCTCATCTAAATGGGCAGTTCGTTGGCCTCTGACCCTGTAATCTGATAAATCCGATGATTCTTTGCAGAGTGTAGTTTCCTGGAAAAGTCCACTTGATGCAGAGGTGGTGGGGACCTGCGGTCCTGGCGGCTCATGGGATCCTGAAGCAGCAATCATGAGGGTCATGAGGCCCCCAGAACCTCATCCTTTCCTCCCTCCTGTCCTGATGCAGTCCTGTCCTCCTCCCTTTGTAGGTCGTTGCCTCCATTGCCGACATCCCCACCAGCGTTCCAGTGCACCTGGAGCTGGCCAGCATGACAAACCGGGAGCTCATGAGCAGCATCGTGCAGCAGGTAACCTTCTAGCCTGGCTGTGGCCTGGGAGAGCGCCTGCGTGGTTCATGGGGGTGTGGCTGCTGTGTCACCCAGATCTGGGGCCCAGGGGAGCCAGACGAGGCCATAGGCCTGTCCCAAACAGCAGTGCGGCCCTCTGGAACGGGGAAGCAAAGGTGACCGGTGTTGGCAGAACTCGAGGAGGAAACTGAAAACCCAGCTGTGCTTTCACTTAAACCTCAGGAAGCACAAATGAGAAAGCTTGAGGTGATCTTGTGTGGCTCAGCAGCAGGCACCTGGGAGCTCTCGTCCTGCCGCAGCCAGCTCACCCACTTCATGACTTGGTTTACCTTTCACTGTTACTCAACCTGTTCATGGCAACATGTGGTTCCGAAGACGAAGGTTTCCCGGTGAAGTCTCCTTCCCATCTTCTCCCCTTCTTCCACTGCTGCCCACCTTACCAGCTTTGGGTAGCACTCTCCAATTAGTCCTGATGTGTGTAAGAAAATGTGTGCCTTTATGCCCAGAGAGAGCGCTTCCCACACTTCGTACGCCGCTGTGCTTGACCTTTCCTTGCTAGCTGAGCCTGGAGACCTTTCCTGAGCCGGGCCTCAGAGAGGACCCTCAGGGTCACCCAGAGGCGGGCCATGCAGAGTCTGCCTGAGCAGGCCTGCCGGAGGCGTTTCGGGTGTCGCTTCCTGTGCTCTTGATGGGGTGCTACAGTGAGCACGCCTGGCACTGTTTTGTTTTGCTTGTGAGCAAGCAGAGATGTAGGGTAAAACCTCCCAAGTAGAACTGCTGAAGGGGAGCACAAGAAACCCTCCAAGCCCTGAGCTCGCCCTCCCTGAGCGGCACCGGCTTACTTCCCACTCGGAAAATGCCAAGTGCTCGTTTCCTCTAACCTTGCCGCCAGAATGTGACTAAACACTTGCATTTGTCGGGGGGAAGAGGTGGAAACAAAGCAAAACTTGTGTTAGTCTGGCAGGTAAAAAATGGCAGGTTTTGGTTTTGTTGTGTTAAGTGTACTGGTACAATTCAGATATAGTTAATGATCATATTCGATATAGGGGATTTGTACCCATACATGATGCCTCTTGATTCCTCTTTTTTCTCTGATTTTGTTCCCCTCAACCCCTTTTCCCCTCTTTAGAGAGCTTTCTTCTCATTTATCTTTTTTTCTTCCGTCCCCCTCTTTTTCTTCCCTCCCTTTCCCGGCTCCCTAGTCCCCCTTTCTTTTGAACCATGCTTTCCCATTCCACAGTACCTGTTACACATTTTGGTCCTTATTTACTTGTAAGGTTTCTCACACCAAAGAAACAGTGCGATATTTATATTATAAACGTGGCTGGCTTTTTGTTTGTTTTGTTTAGTTTTGTTTTCCAGTGCTGGGATGACAGGGATTGAACCAGGGCCTCAAACAAACTAAGCAAGCACTCTGCAGCTGAGCTACACGCCCAGCTCCCCACCACCCCACCTTGTTTGTGTCCTTGGAATTTATTTTATTTTGGGAGGCATTTTTGTCCCACCCCAGGGTCAAGACTGTAGAGAGAGCTGCCCTGGGTCCCCTGCTGCTCTCTGCTGTCGACACCTCTCACTGGCAAGGGCACCTTGTTATCACCAGTGGACCTCACCGGCCTGCCATCACCACTCAGCATCCAAAACTGGCCCTTGGGTTCACCTGTAGTGTTTCTCAGTGTAGCTTTTATTTATATTTCTCTTCTGAGACTGCTTATCTTCACTTTTTCTACATGAGCCATGTGGGAACTCTGCCTGCCCCGCCTGAGAATCTGCTGGGTGCAGGGGAGGGGCCAAAGCTGGGTGCCATGGGGACATGCAGACCCCTCTGCCCTTTCTTACCATGGCACCTGACCTAAACCTGGCGTGGGTGTGAAATGGTATCTGCACAACCTCGCAGTATCTCCAGCAAGCCCAAGGTGGCTGCAGTTAGAAACAAATTGAGGGGTGAGGACGATGCCTGCTGTCCCTGTCACAGTCAGTGGCTGTATCCTGAGCTGTCAGGAGCTGGGTGTGGCCACCAGCCAAGAGACCTGTCCCTGTTTCTGTTAGCAGGTCCTTCCTGCAGTGACCTCCCTCGGGCTGAATGAGCAGGAGCTGCTATTTCTTACTCAGTCTGCGTCTGGACCATACGCCTCGCTGAACTCCTGGGCCGGGGTCCCAGATGTGGGCGTGGTCAGCGACATCCTCTTTTGGGTCCTGCAGGAGCATGGGGCGAGCACAGGCCGGGCCTCAGCCCTCACCAGGATCCACTTCCACACGCTGGTCTACCACATCCTGGCCACAGTGGATGGGCACTGGTCCAACCAGCTGGCAGCTGTGGCTGCGGGGGCGCGTGTGGCTGGAACACAGGCCTGCGCTACCAAATCCATCGACACCAGCCGTGTGTCTCTGAGGGCGCCCCGAGAGTTCATGACTTCCCACTCCGAGGGGGGCTCCAGGGTCGTGCTAAACCCCAGCAAGCCCGTGGCGGAGTGGCACCGCGGGGGCGTTTCCTTCTACTTCACACCTGTGCTGGTATGCAAGGATCCAGTTCGAACTGTGGGCCTTGGGGACGCCATCTCGGCAGAAGGACTCTTCTACTCGGAAGTGCCCGCGCAGGCTTAGGAAGTCTGTGGGGTCACTGACTGAAGGACCGCAGGAAGCAAGCAGCTCGGGAAGCAAGCAGCTCGGAGTGGGGTCAAGGGTGTCAGTTCTAGACCTAACTGGAAGCTAGCCAAAGAAGCAGCAGCAGGTTCAGCTGTGCAGATACATTCCAGCCTGCTGGCAAGCCCGCCAGAACACGTCGGCTTTGAACCAAGACTTAGTTCTCTACTAATAAGACTGGGTTTTTGTCTTTTATGTTGTGTGTTGCAGGAGTAAAAGCTTCAATTCCCAAATCTCCAACTTCTGCAGTATTATCAGGTATTTTTAAGCCAGACTTCTTCGCCCAAGAGAGCTTGTCAGGCAGAGAAAGCACCCTGTCCCCAAACACGGAAAAAGTGCCCGGGCCTGGGCCTCCGGATCCTGTCGAGAGGCCCTGAGGGGCCTCACAGTTCCTGTGCAACTGACAGTGACAGTATTTAGTGAGCGTGCCTTTTTGGTCTTCTGCTCTCAGACTCAGTCAGAGCCACAAGTCCAGATAGAGCGGTCTCTCCCATGCTTTATGGTTGCAGCAGAAATGGGGGCCTCTGGGAACCTCGAAGCCAGTCATCCTGCAGGTGTCTGGAAGCCCGGGTGCTGCCATGAGCCCTGATACTTGGCTCTGAGCCGTGAAGGAGCTTGCTTTTACAACCCGAATGTGCATCTGTGTGTAACAGACCATGTGTGTTTTATGTTGTCATTGATGCATCCATTAAAGTTTGACCTCAAAAGAGCTCCAGGATCATGAATAACTTTGTCATGGTATATATTTATTTTTTTATAAATCAAGACTTCTGTGTGCTTTTAAAAATATTAAAAACAATTTACATTTCAGACTCCTCTAAGGCTTCCTGTAATTGATTTTGTTTGCACTACACTGTGTTCCTGTGACTGCCGTGTCACGCTGATCTTTGTCTTCTTCGTCACTGGGTCAGGGAGCCCCTTACGCTACCGGTATGGAGTAGCTGCGCTGAAGTGGGCTAGGAACCCAGCAGCTGCCAGGAGCAGTGAGCTGCAGTTTGTTCAGAGGGCAGCATGGCTGTGGCATCTGGTGAGGACAGTTTGGTGGCAGGCCAGGCTTGAGGCCCACACAGCAGCTTCGAGATTCTCACGGCTCCCTTAGGCTTTTCATTTATGACCTCTGTCCCTGTCTTGTGTAGGACAAGAATGAATGATTACTCTTTCGCAGAGAAAAGTGAAACCTCTGGAACGGCACACCTTGCCCTTGAAAGCAAGTAACTCGGTAAGGAAATCTCTGGCTGTCAGCGTACCCTTCTCGCTACCTGAAGTTCAGCTAAAAACCAGCTTTCCAGCCTTAGGAAGAGATTTCTGTGTTTTCCCAAGAAATGGAGTAGTTCTAAGTCTTCTAAACCTGAGACTTTCCTAGTAGTACTAAAGTTCATGCTCATGGTCCTTGTGTATATTCTGAAAAATTCTCCAGTTTGGGAAATGTGCTTTAGTCAGTACGAAGCCTAGGAACAGTGTTAGGTTTTGGGTTTTTGTTTGTTTGTTTCTGTTTTTTGCAGTGCTTGGGACTAAACCCAGGGCAGGGATATGCCGGGCTGGCTCCCTACTGCTGAGCCCTACCTCGGCCCCCAGAGTGGTCTTCAGGTGAGCCTTGAGCTATTCATCACAGCTGTAGTTACTCAGCCAACTTGGTGGTTGTCACCAACATCAAATGCATTGTACTCTGTAGCAGCACGGTGGATCATTCATCAGGTGTGGTGAACGTACATGTGGACAAGTGCGCGCGGACTAAATGTGCAAACCTCGCTCTGGAATGTGCTGCCTTCTTGCCAATGGGCTGCAGGTGGCTGCAGCTGTCTGCAAGCCAGAGCTAGCAGAAGCGTGGTAAAGGCACGGTAAGCTGAAGAGGCCGAAGCGGGCCTCTCGCACCCTTTGCGTTTATCTTTACAGAGCTTTCCACTGTGATTCTATGGGAAGCTGAGAAGTTGGAACATCTCTGGCTTAGAGACCTGGTGAACAGTTAATCTGCACAGCACACCAGTACCTTCAATGAGTGGTCCTGTTTTTCTCTTACTGTGTCAAGTGTGAGTGGGGAGACAATAACTTCAGCAGAGCAAACCCATGGCAGCATGCAGTGTTTGTGATGGCAAGTGCTGCCCAATCCTCAACAAGTGATCCTTGGTCAGCCTTAGTTTCTCCATGTGTAAAATGGGCTGAGCCCTCATGGGGCTGTTGGCTTGTGGGCAACCGATGTGCCAATTTGTTCGGCCCAGCAGGCCATGCATCGTGAGGCACACAGCAAATGTCAGTTATTACTGAGACAAACAGTTCCTAGGTCCTCTTTGGGACTGTTTTACATCATTTGAAAGCTGTTGTCATAATTTCTATTCTAATAATTTACCATTCCTGGTCTTTTTCTAGGTAAAATTTTTATGCAGTTAAACTGTACAACTACACACATTCTATGTGTACCACCTGGTTCGCTTTGACAGGCGTATTGTTCTCCAGCCCAGTACACCCCACATCGATCCTCTATGCTTTTCCAAGTCATCCCCACCCAATGAAAGACCTAGCTTTTCTCATAAATAAGCTTTGCCAGTTTTTTTTTAATTTTTATTTATGTGTGTGTGTGTGTGTGTGTGTGTGTGTGTGGCCAGCTCAGCCCACCAGGGGGCGGGGCTGGGTGGCATGTGGTGCTGGGGGATTGAACTGCAGTCCCTATGCTTTGCTAAGCTTGTTCTAAGTAGGTGCTTTAGACCACTGAGCCATCTCACCAGCCCAGCTTTGCCAGTTCTGACAGTAAGAACTTTCAGTATGTGGTTTCTTTCAGTGTGTTTGAGGTTAACCCATGTTGCATGTAGTTCACTGTTTATGAATACATGGTATTCCACTGTTAAGTACAGAATTTTCCACTTGGGTGCTTTTAGGAACAGAGAGCTGTTATCACTAAGTGTACACACATGCTGTCAGTTTTCTGGATAAAAATCTGGGGAATTCTTGAAGGGCCTTTTCACTAGGCTGTTGGACCATCCGACACTTGTCAGTGGGATGTGATAGTTACGGTTGTGTCATTCTGGCCAACCTTGGAGCTGTCAGGGTTTGGTTTTAGCCAATTTTGGATTTCACCGCAGGTTGTGTTATGATTTTATTACATGACAGATGACAGGCACTTTTGCACATGTAGATTGCCCGTGCATCTCTGTGAAGTGTCCAAATCTTTTTTAGTTGCTTACTAAACTATAATTTTTTTAATGTTCTGAATATAGGTCTTTTGGGGGAGTGTTTTATTTTCTCCAAGTCTGTGGCTTGATTCCCACACCCTTGTTTTCTCTGTGACCTGTGATGAAGTTTTACATTTTCGTCTAGGAATTTTATAACTTTAGCTTTTACAAGTAGTGCTATAATCCATTGAGTCACTTTTGTTTTGGGGTTTTTATTTGAGACAGAGTCTCACTATGTGGACCAGGCTGACGTCTAACCCAGCGATCCTCCTGCCTCAGCCCCCCAAGTGCTAGAATTACCAGCATGTGCCGCCATGTCGGGCTTATTACTTTTTGTGTATGGTGTTAGGTTGCGGTTAGGCTTATTTTACATTTTAGTTGATAATTCTCCATTGTATATATGTTCCTTTCAGTATATTGTGATTTTTGTTTTAATGTATTTGGTACAGGGTCTCACTATGCAGCTTGGACTCATAGTGGTCCTCCTGTCTCAGCCTCCCCAGTGCTGGGATTACAGGCATGCGCCACCACACCTGGTCTTGGTGGCCAGCTCAGCACACCTGTGGTGGGGCTGGCACCGAATATGGTACGGGGGAACGAACCCTGGTGCGTGCACTTGCCAGGCAGGCGCTTAGACCACTAACCTATCTCCATAGCCCTGTTAAAGACTTTTTGCTTCACACTGCTTTAGCGCTTTTATCAAAAAATCAAATGACTAAGTGTGAAGTCTATTTATACCCTTTATACTATCTGTCTTTGTTCTTGTGCCAGAGCCAATGACTAGCACAGTGAGCCTTGAAGAAGTGTTTATTTCCTGATTTTGTTCAAGGTTGCCTTAGATGCACTTGTCTTTCCACAGAACTTTTGAATCAGCTTGTGCATTTCTACCCAGAAACCGCTGGGATTGTGGCAAGAATCTATAGAGCCATCTGGAAAAATTTTAAGTCTTCCCAAGAATATGGCTTAGGCTGGTGAGATGGCTCAGTGGTCTAAAGCACCTACTTAGAACAAGCTTAGCAAAGCACAGGGACCGCAGTTCAATCCCCCAGCACCACATGC